AGAAAATGCATCCTTCTTGCAAGTAAATTTTGAACATATCTTTGGGAAATTGCATTCCATTCATTCTGCTTAGCAAGCCGTAGCTGCTCTATCGTGTTTGAAACGGGATTTCTTTGTCGTATGCGGCGTTTTAGGTGATCCTACATACTGCTCTATTGGATTTAAATCCGGGCTAAACGGTGGCCAATTCAATCTTCTAATTTGGACCTCATCAAGATAATTACTCACTATGGCAGCGGCATGTGATCGAGCATTATCGTGCATTAACATGAATCTGTCATATCCAATGTAAAAAAACATATGGGAAAACATGATCTTGAGGGTGTTTTAAATGTAAGAGTCACCAGTCATCCGTCCAATCACTTCCAAAAGTGCGGTGCGTACCTCCCAACTAATACCTTTCCGAAGATTTATGCTATCACCTCCAAAACTAATGGTCTGGGCGTAATTGCAGCTGTCGAATCGTTTTGCAACTCTTGTGTAGACGTTGTTTTTGACCATCTGGCTTCCAAAATAGGATTCTGGTCTCATCAGTAAAACGAACGTTTTTTCAGTTATCGATATTTCACTGGATATGTGTTCTTGCAAACTCTTGGGCTTTATGATTTTGGAGAAAACATGGAACTTTGGCGGGTCATCTGGGCTTTAAGTTTGCTTGTTTTTTTATGATAAAACGTACGAATGGCAATAAACGCTGAATAAACATTAAAACAAACGTCAAAATATTTTAAACCAGTTGAGTACATCAGCCTACTATATGAGTATCATTAATAATCTAAAATTATTTTGAAATAATAGTGATTACAAAAAAAAAATTGTAAAATTCCAAAATATTCGATATTTTTGTCCATGAGTGTATAAAGCATCTGCAGTATATCAGTCTAGTCAGAAACTTTACAGGAGTAATGTCTTAGCTGTCGAAGGCAAGACAAAATTACATTTTTTTAATTAAAACGTTGTATAATAAAATCCTTATATTACTTCAGTCGCCAGAGACGAAAATGCAACTGAACCTTTAAAAATCCTAGGACCAAGCTGAATTTTGCTATAGTTTATTTTTATGAACGAGAGAGTAATTAGCATAATTTTAACTGGTATCTCCGACCACTCCATGGGCGTGCTCAAGATTAATTGAAAAATTACTTTGAATAATTGTAAAAAATAAATGAATTATTTCAGTGTTACAAAGTGTTATGTGTATGTAAACAAAAGTGACCTCTTTTATCACACACTATATTAGAACTGACTGGCCTACATTAAAAAGGGTTTTAAAAAATTCACAATTTTTTTTAATTTTTAAAACCAGTGCCAATAAAACACACACGCACACGCACACACACACACACACACACACACACACACACACACACACACACAATTACAAAAGAGAAAAAGAGTTTTTAAAACCGTCTAAGGTATGTTAAATAGATGAATAAAAATATTAATATAAAACTTACAGCTACTTGTTACAAATCCAAATCAGATTCAGAAGATAAACTTTCAAAACCAAGATTTAGAATAACTGGCTCGATCATTTTATCAGTAATATTGTCCAGCTTCCACATTTTTTCCTCTTCTTTAATAGTGTGATTTACTGCCTTTTCCAAGTTTTCAGGTTTTACATTATTTACGGCCTCCAAAAACAACTGTTTAACATCATGAATTTTAAAAGTGGTATTTTTTCTTGAAACTTCACTCTTTATCTGTGCCCATACGAGTTCAATCGGGTTTAATTCACAATGATATGGTGGGGATCTAAGTACTGTCATTCCACGATTTTTGGCAATTTCATCAATTTCGTATTTTTAAAATTTTTCTTTATGAAGGGCACACAACGAATAAAGTTCCTTTCTTATAGATCCAAGATGATACGTAATATTTTTTGAACTCAGCCAATTCTGCAAGTCTTTTTTTAACCACTTGGTTGTGGGCAGTCCTTCTATAAGTCTGGAGTGATAACTTGCATTATCCATTACTATTACACAGTTCTTAGGAAGAAGATCTATCATTTGTTCGAACCATTCTTGAAAGACATCAGCGTTCATGTCTTCATGGTAGTCACCGGTACGAGTTGATTCAAAAGTTAATAAACCACCATCAACAAAACCGTCTGAACTGCCAATGTGTACTATTATCAGCCTGCGTCCCTTTCCTGATGGTGGGTTTAAACCAGTAGATAAGTTATTTACAAAAAGCGTGCCTTTGACTTGTAACAGTTTCATCCTGCCAAAATTTATTTGGTGTGTGACCCTCGTTGATCCATGTTTCATCAAGATAAAATATTTTTCTTTTTTGGTTTCTCATTTCCTTTATGGTTCTTAGAAAATGTTTTCTCCATATGACAATATCGCTTCCTTCTAATAAAATAGACTTTCTGGGATTCTTTTTCCAGCGGAAGCCTATTTCTTTTAAAAGTTTCCATAACGTACTTCGACTCATTTCTGGGTAATCCTTATCATCTCGAACTGAGACAAGAACTTTATCCAATGTTGGAAATTCTTGTCTAAAGAAGAATTCATGCACTTTCCGTCGAAGTCCTTCTTTAAAATGATATTCTATTTGAAATTTTGGTTTCACTGGAGCATTACGTGGCATTTGAAAACTACCACATTTCTCTTCTTTAATAACTCTGTAAATCGTAGATTTCCCAATACCAAGTGTACTGCTAACTAACTCAACGGTCTCATCAACACTTTCACATAAACGTTTGTCTGTAAATGATTCAAAACAATTAAATATTAATGTTTTTTCATTAACTGTTAAAGGACCAATTTTTCGGCGTTTACACGGCACTTCCAAATTTTCCGTAACACTAGTATACACAATAAACTGCACCTTGCAACTGAAGTACCTACTTTTAGTGAACTGATAAAAATTTTGAATACGCCACTTGGACCTTCCTACAAAATGGAAAAACCCACTATCACATTTTCTGTGGAATAAGTTTAGAAGGTAATTATCTAGTCAATTACAGTCGTAGATTCCTGGAATTAAAGAATTAAATGTTTGATTGTTGAAACACTTACTTCGTGGAATGCACTCATTTCAGATAAAATAAAACGTTTTATTTTATCTAAAGAATTAAACTTTATTTTGCAAATAGGTAGGTACTTATTAAACTTTTATTGGTTATATATAACCAATAAAATAAACATCTTACATTTCTTGCAAATTCATTAGTACCTGTTAACCTCCATCACTCCGGCACTGGCAACCTTATTTAGGGATTAGTAACCTTCACAACTATTGTATTCTATTCTGCTCCAACCTTTATACCTGGTGGTTATACTCAATTTAAAATTGTTTTCCTATATACTTCTGTAAACTTGTTGACAAATATCTGTTTTTCATTGAGTCACCTGTATCAACAGTTTAGGGATTTGTATACATAATTTATTGTTTTATTACTCTCTCATACATAAAAATACACTATAAAAATATTAATTTTGTAACTCCAAAAAGATGCAAAAAGTTTAGCACTTTTTGCATGGGCTTCCCCTAAAAACTCCCACGTAGTGGGTAAAAAATTCAGAAAAATAGATTTATCAAGAATTTGTAAGCCGTAGAAAAAATGTTTTAAATAAAAAATGTAACTGAAATTTAGCTTTGAATGTCAGTTACGCGCGCCTAATCAAATGGAAAATCTAATGGCAAAAATTGCGCCACATTTATTTATTTAACACCTTTATAAAAAAGGAATTTATTCGCAACAAAATGCATACGAAAACTGCACTTTTTACCTTTAAAACGCATCTTGATTTTTGACGACAGGACACTTGGATCAAAAGATATCGCATTTTTACCGTCGAGCTGATAAAATTTTTATTGAACATTGATTTAGCGCGCGTACCTGATATTCAAAGTGCACGGTCGCTTCAAGGGTTATTTCTGAGAGAACGGTTCATTCCATGCAAAATGTGCTAATACACAATTAAGTAAAATTGTAGCAAAAGTGCTACGAGTGTGGTTTTCGGGGGAAGCCCGGGGGTAAAAGTGGTAAAACCTTTATGCATCTGTATTGGGGTTCCAAAATTATTATTTCAAAACTCAGCTTATGACTGAGAGGTATGATTTTTAAGGGTTAACTCTCTGACGACTGGACATGGTTCTGAAGCCACTGTATTGTAGCCTTTTACTTTTTTAGTTTTTATTTTATGGAAATATTGGGAACATACAATTTGAAAAAATATGGCCAGTATTATTAGAGATACTACAAATATTAAACTAATATATTATTAGAGATACTAGGCCGAGATTATTGTGAACAAAAATTTTATTAGCACTTTTTATGTAGAATAAACTGTTCTCTCAGAAACAATGCTTGAAGCAACTGGCGATTTTGAATGTCCATGATTTTTGAAAACGATATCAAATGTGTATTGAAGAAAATGGGGGTCATTTTGAACATTTATTGTAATATCATATTTATAGTTTATGGACATTTTTTGTACTTATTAATTCATTTAAGCCATTTATTTAGTTCCACGTAATTTTTAAAGGTTAATGAGAAGGGCTGTAACTCAATAAAAACTCTTTTTAAAAAAAAGTAATAAATGAATAAATTTGAAAAATAATGTGTTAACTAATGATGCCACACAATTCATTTGATTTGAACGTACTCAAAAGTTGGGGGGGGGGTTTAGGGCTGCACACCCCCCTTAAAATTTTTCTGTGCGCTTAGGTTTTGTTTTATGAAAAATGCTTCAGAACAAGAAAGGAACGTATCCATTTTTATGTCAAGTAGTTTAGGAGATAATGCAAAAAAACAATTTTTATTTTGTAACTTCAAAGGACTGTAACTTTTTTTGTGTACACTTTTATACACTCTTATTTTTGTCCCCGGAATGCGTGATTTACCGTGAAAAATATTGTATTTGCATTTCTACCACCTGTGTAACTTCATAACATCTTATGATGTGGATTATAATATAAATTTGTGACTGATTTTTAATAGCAGCTGTATATTTTGTATGTCAAATAATTAAGTTAAGTATCCTCACCAAGGTATTTTGGTATCCCAGACCATGGTTCTCGTGATGAAGATCATCTCCTATGTCACTGTGTCCACTATCACTTGTATCCATTTTACACTAATATATTTATTTGAATATTACACTTATTCGGCACTATATTCTTATTCAATAAAGAAAAACATATTTCTTCCTGAAACAAAGAAAAACACGCAATTAGGTTTTGTGTAGATTATATTTTATCTTATATATATATATATATATATATATATATATATAAATATATATATATATATGTATGTACATATATATATATATATATATATATATATATATATATATATATGTACATATATATATATATATATATATATATATATACTTCTAGCGGTTAATGTGGGCTCCGTACTAAAACGGTATTATACTAACTCCAGGAGAATATACGCCGTGTATATTATTATCTGAGTAGCGCATTATGTAGACTCCGACCAACACGTCGGATCAAGTGGACTCCGTAACTGGATAAAACATTTTTGGGATCCGTATACAGCTTTTAGCGTACACAACTAAGCTCCTGCGATGTTGCCAGTAGTTGTATTAGTCGTAGATTTTCAAATTTTAGAGCAGGTACATTTTAGAACTTAAAATTTATTTAAATATCCACCAGGTTAGTCATCGAGGAATTCCAAGAATATTTGGCTACTGTTTTTAAATATATTATAATATAAATTGTTAATATAATTTTATTTTATTTTTATGTTTAATAAGCACTTTGATAATTTAAATTACTTGCTCTAATTATTTTCAAACTTTAGTATTCATTATAAACTTATTAATGCTAATATATAGCATTATTTTATAGCATTCTAATATTTTAGCTATGGATTAAATCCGAATAGCTTTTTGATATTACTTTACTTTCTCGGAGACATTATATTTTAACACAAGGATCTTATTAAATTACCAAAACCTTCCTTTCATATTTTATTCACTTATAAGAGGCAGCACTAACATCAGTAAGATAATAAGGCGTACCTATAGTTCTGGGCAGCTTAATAGAAAACTTGAATGTAGCAATTTTATTGGTTTCGGGACTGCTAACTGGATTGGGGAAGCAGGATATCAACATTAAGTTAATGCATATAGGAATTGTTGCTTGACGGTTGAAATATCAAATACCAGAAGGTACGACGGTACCAGTCTGAGAAAGTAAAGCAAAACAACTTAACTATTATTAGACAATATCATATTTCCTAATAAACTAATATTCACTTTATAACGAGACAAAAAGATATCGAAACAGTATGTACATACCAACGGGTTTCCTATGTCGGCATCCAGCAAAATTGTTGTAATATTGATACGGGAAACAAAACCTTGAGAGAGAAATTGGCCCCAAGAAACTCTGCCTTAATAAACAGTCGAATAAAATACAGATTCTCGATTTAAATAGTCAAAAAATTAAAGAACAATTTATTAAAATAGAAACAGCGCCGATTTACGATGTAATCCATTAACGGCCCAAGGTACAAAGCAGCTCCTAGTTATGCTGATGATTACATCTATAAATATGTAAACGACATACTGAACAAAGTCCAGAGAGCACGAAAAAAGTTTCAAGTAAAATCAACGAAGTGAAAACCAAATACCAGCGCATAAACATAAGAGACCGTCAGTAAATCTAGATACAACGTTAAAGTCAACAATTTCAATTTCGAAAGTATGGAAGACATTAAATATCTTAGAACAATAATCGCAGTTGGTAATACTACCACTGAAGGAGTTTAGAGCATAATACAAGCTTTAGACATATTTTTATGTATGGATGCGAATCATTACAATGACTAAAACAAATAAAAAAAGACTTCAAATATTGATAGATAATTGATAGGGAATAAGCACATCTATAAATAAGAATGAACATATCATACAAGGTGGATAGCAAGGATTTCGGATTGGAGCCCAATAGGAAGGAGAAAAAGAGGTAGACCCCGAAGATCATGGAGGGATGAAGTGGACGAGGCCATGAAAAAACGGGACCTTAGAGATGGAGAATGGCAGAACAGAGAGGACTGGAGACGTTGGCTGAAAGAAGGAAGGCAACGACAGCTGTAAAAATCCTTATATAGATAGATAGATAGATAAGAATGAATAACATATCTTAGATAAATAAGCGGAACAAAAGAAACTGTGTATAAACTTGAAATTTCAGAAATAATAATTAAATGAATTAATGTAAATCGTAGGAAAAGAAATAAGAGGAGCCACGACACAGTGAAAAACTAGAAATCTGATGGAAAAATACAATAAACTATTACGTTTGCTCTTTAGCACCGTGAGAAGATTAAAATACAAATCTGCATACATAATTATATTAAAGAAAAGTTAATAAAAACTTCTGTTCGTCAGCAGCCAGAGAAATTACACATTATAATATATTGAATAATGCTTTTAGCTTAAAAAAAACGGTGTTATAGTCAATAACAAGAAAACCAAATAAAAGTTCATTAACAGACAAAAGGTATGATATAGAATGGAGCATTAATGTAACAATAAAACCATATACTTTTGAAGGATTGGAGCTATTTACATATCGCTGATAACTTTGTCACATAAAAGATAAAAGCGAAAATGCATGTAGCAAACCATAGACATATAGTACAAATAGACTGAATACTGCCATACATTCACGTTTCCGCAATGCGACAGAGAAAACTGACGAAAAGCAATATCTGTATCTTTTTCTAATGGGACGGGTTTATCGACCACGTGACCTTCTCATTGGTCATTTAGGTCACGCGTTCGATAAACCTGGTAAATTAGAAAGAGATGCAGGGACTGCTTTTCGCCAGTTTTCTCTGTCGCACTGAGGAAACGGACCTGTATTGCAACAGTCAGTCTATTTGTATTTTATATATATGTAGCAAACTGATATCCTCATATCACTATTAAATCTACAAAATGAAGAAACTGCAATATAAACAAAATTTCTTTAGTACGTGTCTAGAAAAGAACTCTAAAAAAGAATTTCGAGATAGAAACGTCAACTACATGTGTAATATAAAAATCAAATTTATTCTTTTAACCAAAATGTTCACACCAAGTTTTAATGTATTTAAATATCCGGTAGCTCAAACTACTTGTATGCTATAATAGTATTCAGTAATCCATCTCAATATGTCTGACTTTATTTTTTTTTAAATTTTTTGGATAGAATGAAAGAAATATGCCACAATATTTATTATGAACTACATATTTTATTTGACGCTTCAATGTTCAAATAGGAGTTCGTTCTTAAAAATGTACAATATTATTTTTACAAGGTATTACGTATAAGATGTTATTTATGTTTTTACTTTATCTAGTTGGTCATAATAATCAATTAGTTCGCGGTTGTTTCGCACTCTGTATTGATTTGTAATATTATCGATAACATGTTTATATATTTCTCTAATAATTCTTCTTTCTGCGATGCTCAATCGGCTCTTATTTTGTTTTTTCGTCGTCCATGTTTCATGTTTTAATTCTCCCCGTATAATTAGCAGATTAACAGAGAGTCATTCCATCCAATAAGAGTGGAGGCTGCTCAGTCATCAAAGACAATCATTCCATCCAGTAAGGATGAAGACTGCTTAGTCATCAAAGACAGTCGTTCTATCCAGTAGGGGTGAAGGCTGCCTAGTCGTCGAAGAGACAAGTGCTATCTGCCAAACAAGAGAGTCGTGTCTTGGTTAAGGGTAGCTGCCCTTTGCGCTATCGCCGATTCTTTTGTGGTTGCTGTATGTCAAGGGTAAGGTCAGCCTACATATCTGTTGCTAAAATTACTTCTCTGCTGTAACGAGTACCATTTACTGGTATATCAATTTTGTTACGAATTTATCTTATGTGCTAAATAAACTCTAATAAATCTTTTACCGCGAATTAAAAAACATGTTTTAACCTTTACGTTTATCTAAATAAATATTTACTATATTGTATAATAGTTGTTTATTATGTTTTTTTTATTATTTGTATCTCTGTAGGTATAATTTAGAATATAATATTATTTGTCTTATATACAAAATCATACGATTTGCGTTACATTGATATTTATGTGGCAATTAGCTATAGAGTCATTAGTCTTTCCTGTCATATAATATTTTCCTTAATCAACAAACCATAATCAAGCGGTTTAATTTGTGTAATACAATATCCCAATTCGTCTCATAATATTTAGTTTTCAAAACAGCTGTTACGCTAATAATTCGATCACCTTTGTTAAAGCACTTTGGGTTATGACTACTTTTTCTTGGCTACGCAATTTTAGTTTTTAAATTACAGTATTTATTGATATGTTATTGATAGGTTATGCAAGTGTTGAGGAGTAGTTTGGGATTGATATATGAGGTTGTGAAATATTAGGTATTGTTGATAACTGGGTAGTTGTTATATTTTTATCTGTGTATGTAGTTTGAGAACTTGGGAATAATGTTAAGGGTGATATTTGAGATGTAGTTAATATTGGTATAATTAATTAAGTAGGTATAGTCGAGGATTGTAAGGAAAAGGACTTCGCTGAAGATGCTGATGTGATCAGGACGTCATGTGTGGAAGAGTATTAACTACTGTATTTATAGTAGTAATTGGCACTGTTGTTGTAAAGTTCTGATTTGGATTTGTACAGAATGACCAATTTGCTACAAAATGGTCAGATTTTTTACAATAGTAACACATCTGTTTTCTAAAGATAAGAAAATACGATTAGATGTTTGATCGTGGTTTCTGACAATTCAGGGAGGAATTAATGTAGCTTTCAAAGGAAAGATAAATGTATGTCTTGGAAAGCTCAATATATATCTATATACTGGGTTTGTTGTACCTCTTCGTAAAAAATTAATTGGAGGTAATAAATTGCGGCCTAATTTTTTAAGTTCATATTCTATGAAAGTGTGATAAATACTAGGACAAACATTAGAAATCAGTAATCTTTCATTTGGTGTAATTAAGCGTCAAGAATAAATTATTTGATGATTGATAGTTATTCTTTCGTTGTCATCCTTCATGGCAGTTTTTTCTAATTCTTCACTAGCTAGGTAAATACAAATACGGTGATTTGAAATTCATGATGAAAAAATGTATATATCTTGGTTCTATAATTTTTCACAGTGCAAGTAGATATTGGAATTTTGGAATTGAATTGATTAACGCTACAGA